CCTTGTCATGGAAATTCATCAGACCATGAGCAAAAGTAGGAGGCAAGAAACCTTTATGATTTTGCAACTAATAAGTAATAAGCGATTTTCTAATATGTTTATCCTAGGAAATACGATCATATCATACTCTTCTGAATTGACCTGGTTGTTTTATGTAAAGTTTACGACTAATCATTAGTCTCTTGGTAGTGTTACGTCTTATGTTGGTTTAATTACTGAATTGTTATTATTGTTTCTGTGTAACATCATTAATGACTACTTCTATTCGAAGTAGGTTCTTATGATATTATCTGACTAAAAATATGTTACACTAAAGAAACTCCTATATGATTGTTTCCAAGCAGCTGTCCATTCAGATCTTATATCATAGTCTAGGTTGTCAATATCTTCAATCTTAATTCACTTTCTTTCGCTATTTTTTTAAAAGAAGTATTCGACCTGAGCATAAACCGAGAGGGAAGTATTTCGACACTGACTCGAGCTAGAACCCTTCTCTAGTTTCTTAATACTTTATCTTATTTCTGTTATGAATCTTCTTATTTCATCCTTCATGTCATGTTCCACCAGCAATAACGATTCGATCCCACGAAATGTTATCTTTAGTTTTCTGAAACTCTACATACTAAACACATCAGTCAAAACTCTATTCCAAATCACTCGACAAGTTTGATTAGGCTGAATCGTAGAATCTCTTGTCGTGAATATTTGATACATATCTGAAGTACATATACAGGACCCAATTGTGATCAACGTCATAACTTCACTTAGCTAGTGTGAAGAAGCGGTGCATTTCACCTTCTTGATTACCTGGTGACTACAGCATTTTTCCCATGGCCTAAGCTTTGAAGGCATATCACTAACTATAAAACCAGAACGGGTACTTTTGGTATGGATTCTAGCCTTCTGTCACTTTTCGCTGTCCAAATGATAATCACTATAAAGATTCAAAGGGATAAACGTCGTTGTTTATGGGACGTTCCTGCTTACGTTAGGTATGCAGTCAGTTCTGAACTAAATTCAGAAAATCGTAATGAGAGGACCTTTATGTTTATTTCGAGAATGGGACAACCAAATATATATTAAGGGGAAACTATTAAGCCACTTAGTTCATCGGTAAGACGTTTTTCTGGAAGTACCTTTTACTGATATCTAATCTACTTAAAACTAACAGTGGTTTATTCTAATCCTCCGAAACACAAGGTTAAGATGTATTTTCACTCCAACTTTCCTTGAAAAATATTCTGCTTCCAACTGATTCTCGTTCTAATCTGCGTCTACTCGAGTGATGTGCATTGACCGAAGTTTACTAGGCATAGAAGAATACAGCTCAGTCTCAGACCAAATGAGTAAAACGATGACGAATTGTTCAGCTAGCTTGTAAATGCTTTCCAGATACATAATACTTATCAACACCCTCTAACTGTTAACGAAACTCGAAAGACTACACAGCTAACTTTAAATGGGTTGCGAATGACTTGTTATTTGATTGAGTTTTTTCTACTAACTAGTGGTAATCTGATTATTATTACTTTGTGGTAAATAATCTTATCAAATTGTGTATTTGGAGTGTATGATGATAGAAGATAATATTATGTCCATAAAATATAAATTTTGAACAAACGCAATTATTCAGTTTCTTTTTTTATCTCTTTATCATTTGCCATCTAAATCGGACGAATGATATTAGCTTTTTTTAAATATATACACTTACGTTACCATGGTTACTATCATCAAAATAATAATTATAATAAATGATAGTAGTTTGTTTTTAATCAAATATGAGGTTTTTTAGTTTCTATTATAGGCGACGAATTTTTCTACACAGAAAACATCATTGGATTTTGTTTTTTTTTCAACATTGGTTTCACCAGTTTTTTTGTTCGAAGTAAACGTCTACCATATTTTGTTTGTAAATCATTATTAAATCGAAAGAAGTTGCCTTCTTTTTCATTCATATAACAGTTTGATTGAAATCTGTCCTGAACTTTGTTCAAATCACAGCTCAGGTTCTCTTATATAATTCTACATACAATCTTTAACTATTTAATTCTTGTTTATACGAATATTCGTCAAGATTAGAACAAATAGTTTGACAGTAATTGAGCTTCGAGTATAGAGAATTATTATATTTAATTCTTGGTTCCAATAAACTGCCTTATGTACTTTGGTGTAGGCAAATGGCCACCTTACACTTGAGCAATAGGTGTAGCTCACAACCCCTAGTATGTGATTTTTGTATACAGTCAGAAGAACTATTATTGTTTTTACTCCTATAATCTTTTTTCGTGTATTTATTCTAGACAAGTATTGCAACTCGCGTACTTTTTACTATGGAGTACATCAATATAGATTTTAAAGAGCTTATATATATTTTTTCTACCTCACCCAAACTCACTATTTATTTGGCTGATTTAATAATCCATTGATTGTGTCGTTTTTTTTAATTTTATGTTCATCCTACCTAACAGTTTAGAGGTCATGGTGGGCCTGTATGATTTGAAATTACTAAGTATCTGCATTTTTATTTAGATTATTAACGCGCTCTAAAACGTTAGTTACATAACTATATTACGATAGGTAATTGTATTGAAAAGTATAGTCGAAATGGGACTATTCAATCAATCATCTCTATCTGCTTTTGTCCTGGTAGATGTAAACGAATTCCATAGAATGATTTAGAAAGTTCATTTATATTGTGAAGGGTATCTCACGAAAATTTCATTTAAAAAAAAATTATTTACACATTCAGATTCATAGTGATTAAAATTGTATTCACTATTTCTTTGTATGGAAGCTTTCACGATACTTTTTGACTGAAAGTCATTGACAAAACAAAAACAGTAGCTGAATCTATTAGCAGCTAAGCTGCTTAAACTCAACAGTTACAGAAAAATTGGTATCAGTGAGGCATTTGTTCAGTCCATTATATGTTGATTATTAATACTGTTGTCAAAAGACAGCTCAATCACTAAAAGTATCTAATATCAGAAAAAGTGTTTAAATTATTTTTGCACACTAGCGAATGCATGTAATAACTAATATAACGTAGTAGATAATAAAAAAAAGCTTTATTTATTGAAAAACTTCAAAAAGATCTGTCCTAGATAACTTCTCAATAAATTAGTTTTGTTTATGAAGGCGGTTTTCAGGTTGCTAAGCTGATTAAAGTACTTTAAAAAACATAAGAAAGTGATCACTGAAATAAAATCATAACTGAACATATCTCTAAAAATACTGTTTAATGCTAATCATATCGTAACTTTACCACCAGTTCAACATTATTTACGATAGTTGTGTTTTCCGAAATGGTAACAACCCTTACCAAACCATCTGATATCAACTTTTACATACAATCATCTTTCTTCTTTGTTTCTATTAAAAAGCGATTTAAAACCAACTTTCTACTTTAATCGATCTCATTTTATTTCGCCAGCGATTATATTCTGCAGGTAGGTCTTAGAAAAAGGCATGGTACTGTTGTAATTATTTTGATGCGAAAAAAACAGTTCTAATTAATTAATACAGTTAATTTACCAAGATCATGTTCACATACTTCTCTCTGAGTCAGAAACTTTTGAACGAGCGGTATTCATAATCCGTAAGAAAACTATTAGGCTCAAACCTTTATATGAATGTTGAGTTGCATCAACGCCTTGGCTCTTTCACTGAACTATCACTGACAATAGTTAATTATCAATTGTTTGAGTTATAAATAAATAAAATGGTCATTCATTTATTTAGCTGGAGAACATTGACGTATTCAACTTACCATAAATTGTTATCATAAATACTAACTCCTTTTAATTCACGTTTCATAAATCCGCTTTTAACAAGCTTTGAACTCTTGTGTTTCGGTTGTCTTCTTTGGTCTTGGACTCTGGGTTACTTTGATATTAGAGGTTTCCGATGAATGTTTCTGTAATTACGGTGTAAATAATAATTTGTTAGATTTATCGTCATTTATTATCATTCAATTCCTATCTATTTATGAAACGTACTCAATCTCAACATTGGTTGGTTTAAAATCGTGAATCCATCATGTATTCATATTCTCAATGATTCTAGGTTATATTTATTATTATTATTGTTATTATTATTATTATTATTTTAACACATTTATATTGGTACTAGGAGGCACCAAATACATATGCGACACACAGATCTCATTTGATATGTGTGAGGGCTGTGATACTGCCTGGGTGTCCAAACCGAAGCAGGTGATTTTCTTAGGGGGCCATACCCGGAGCCTTAGACCTGAAGGTCTGATCCACAAGACAGTGGAGCATCGTAAGGAGATGCAGTCCCATGGAAGCCGGTGACCAACAATTGGTTCATACTCCGTCTGTTCTTTCAGAATACTGGGGTCCATGTCAACCATCAGTTTGGAATCAGGGTTTTTCAACTCCCCTAGATGGACTCTTCATGTCCACGAACCCGGTTAAGGCACCGGACATTTGCCTTTCGTCCTCTCAATTTCGTAAACAACACCCCGCCACCAGAAGGCAGTGAATAGAACTTTCCTGGCAGAGGTCATATACGCGTGGCCATGAGAGATCATTTCGAAAGGGACTCTCCCTACTTTCGGCCGTACCAGGGCATTCGGGGGCATTCTAGGTTCTGAAAATTCATGGATAACAATTCATCATATCATAGGTTTTTATCAACATTTATTATTTTTTTAAATCGTTATAATTATTATTTATCGTATCAAAAGTACAGTTTGCCATTGTATTGTATTGTTCTTTACATTGTAAAATATTTAAATATGATAAAAAAATTATTTTTTACAATAAAATATCAATATCATCAAAAATTTTGGTAGGTAAAATGAAACTTCTGTATTGTTATCCGGTGTTGTTGCCATTCACATAAAATCTTTTATGAGATGAATAATAATAGTAATAATAATAACAATGAGAACTATAACGAGGTATTTTAATGTCGACAAGTTGATGTCATCAAAAATGATGATATGGTTTATTTCTTATGATTCTCTTCAGTTGTTATTACAGTAAAACAACATTTTTTTTATTAAAAGAAAACAAACAATATCATCGATATAATTCCTATCACCTGTCAGATTGGATCTTGTAAATAGGGTTTTTATTACTGTTGCCGACTGGTTATACTACTGAACATCAACTCAGAGATTCAGGTACACCCAGATGGCGAGTTCCAAATTGGAACGAATCGCGCGTCCTGGATTCCAATGCTAATCATCATCCATCTTTGCATACTATTTTTTTTATTTATACTGTTTCATTTCTTCTGTAGTAAAGTGGTCTAATTAAAGTCAGTCCGTGATGTTAATTACAATGGTCAACAATTTCCACGAAGTCCCTATACTAAATACTTAATTCAATATTTCCGTTTATTAAATGTTTGGTTATTTCATTTCAAATTTTTTTAAACAAGTGAACATTTGTTTATGCGTGCACTTGATATCACATATTTGTGATTAGTTTGTTTGTTTTTTTTGGCTTCTATATATATAATACACTTACTGACCTGTAATTTTGCTTAAATGAATTTTTGGTTACTTTTTATCCTATAATTTCATCAATTATGCATTGACTTATTCATCTTGATTTTTGCTTACCATCATTAATCCGTTTCTGTTTTCTTCTACCATTTAACCGATTGGTTTATATTCTTCTACTTTCGATAGTATAATGAGAAAATAGTGTTAACTTGAAGAAATGTATTTTACGTTTGCTATACACTTCGAAGAAACTGATCAAACAATTTTCAAAGCAAGATTAATTATAAATAAACGATAAAGATAAGTATAAAGTGATGGTTTTACAATAACTGAGAAAAAAATAAAAAGTTAATCTCAAATGTCTCAATAAACAAAGGAGTAAGAATTCTGCTTGTCCATTGTAAAATATATTATTTAAACAAGTCATAGGATTGAAATTATGCAACAATACTTAAGACCGCGCTTCGAAATTGTCAATGCATCCTTAAGTTTATAGAAATGTTAGGTATCAAAAACTGAAACCTCCTTTAGGCCTAGAAAAACAATTTGTTTCATACTTTGAATATATATATATATATATATATATATATATATATATATATATATATATATATCATCAAGTCAACTTCATCTTCTCACTACATTGTCTAAATTTACGAAAGAGACTAACTGTTTACATTTATGTTCCTACTTCATATTTGTATGTATGTGATGTCAGCTTTTCAATTATACTTATCAAAACATGAATAATTGTTTGTTTTTATGCCAGTATAGAATCTTGTCAAATAATAATTTCTTAGCGTAGTTTGACGAGAGATTAAGTTGGACTTCTGAATAATTTCTTAGTTTTAACCAAAATGTATCTAATTATGTGTCAGACTGATTCTAATATGAAGTGTTGTGTTTCGTGTACTTTTAAACGGACATTTAATTTGTTTCGTACGTAATAATATCACATAGCCTTACACCTCTTCAATACAAAATAAATTTGGTTAAATGTCTTAGCCACAGAATAAAATTATTATGTTCTGAGAATAGTGGAGATAGCGAAATAGGTAAGTTAAAGAACACGTAGCGAAATAATGGCTATCCAGATAATTTCTATAAAAAGATAAAAAAAGGAACAAACGCTGACACGATCAGTAAAAAAACTCTCCATTTAAAACTCGATTTTAAAGGAGATATTGTGACTGCCCCCAGATGCCCTGGTATGGCCAAGAGTGGGGTGGTCCCGCTCTCCCTCTCGAAATGCTCCCACACGGCCACGTGTGTACAGCCTCTGCCAGGTAAGTCCTACTCACTGCCTTCTCGTGGCAGGGGTGTTGTTTACGAAATTGAGAGGACGAAAATCGAATGTCCGGCGCTTTAACCGGATTACAAACCAATGGTGCACATGGGCTCCAGTATCCTGAAGGAACAAATGGCGTATGAACCAATCGTTGGTCACCGGCTACCATGGGAATGCATCTCCTCACGATGCCCCACTGCCTTGTGGGTTAGACCTTTAGGTCAAAGGCTCGGGTTGTGGCCCCCTCAGAAAACTACCTGCTTCGGTCTGGGCACCCGGGTTGTGTCACAGCCCACACACACATAAATATGGTGTGTGCATATATATTTGGTGCCCTTTTGTACCAATATTTATATGTTGAAATAAATAAAAACACGTTGACTCTAAAGATATGTTAATAGGGTATTTCAAGCTGCCGAATTACACATAATCTTCTCAAACATGTACTTACACAACAAGACAAGGATAGATTACCGATGATGGACTCCTACAAGTGTATATACCAATTTTACTGCTATTGTGGAGCTAGTTAGATAGACCTTATTTAGGAGGCTTTATGCTTGCGTACTTGTGCATATGTACCAGCATGGTTTAGAAAAGGAATCACTTTATCTATTAACAACGCTATCTTTTCTCACTTCATAGATAGTGAACATCATAATAAAATGGATAAAAAGAGCAAGAACAAAGATTGATGCAGAATAATATGAATTCATTTTATTTCGTTAGGTTCTCAGCAGCTGCTTACAGCCTAAAATATTTGAAATTCAAAGTTATTATATATATTGACATACTTATACAACAGAGGGCGATGAAGAATGAATATATGCAACATAATGTAGCAAAGATTTTGTCAGAGTTAGTGAGGTCATAAAAGTTTTAGTTTCGAATATACAGAGTTTGGGAGGGAAAGTTCCAGAAAATTGAGATAGTGATTAGAAATCATGGAATTAAAACACATTAGACGATTATGTAATGAAGTAACTGAAAATAGATTAATGTTAATAAAGAGAGATATGAATTGAAATTGGTCAGTTATGAATGACGTAATAAAAATAATAATAAATAAAAAACAAAAGTAAAGGGGGATGGGGGGAATGTTACCAGGGCAAAGAAAGATTTATTACTGTTTCTTTTTGTATACAAAGATCTGGTTTTAAACGTTTGATTGCTATTGCTTCGGCGAATTTCAATAGGTTTGAATTTGATTGTTTGTTGATCATCTTGAAGGACTTCAGTATATCGACTTCGTGTCCTGTGTCAAGGAGATGTCTTGCGACAGCGCTGCTAAATGCTTTTAGTCCGTTTGATCTCAAACTCTTCGGAATGTGTTCTTTGAATCGGACGTAGGCTCTCCTTTCTGTTCTACCGATGTAACTGCTTTGACAGATACATGTAAATTTGTATACACAGTTGGTGGTAACATGAAAGGGATACCTGTCGACCTTTGATTGTGTCAAAGAACATGTCGTTTTGGACAGGACAATCAATTTAGCTGCAGGATATGTTTTTGTCAATGCAGTTTTTAGTCTCATTGATTGACCCTGTGACATTATCGCCTTTGAATTTGAGTTGAATAAAAACAGGTTTTTTATTTACTGTGGTTTCTTTGGGTATTTTATCTCCACGTTTTCCATATTTCTCAATAAATCTCAATGGGTATCCGTTATTTCTTAAACACTTTTTAAAATTCATAATTTCCTCTTCTATTGTATCGGCAGTACATATTCTTTCTGTTCTGTGAAAGTGTTTTGACGAGTGTCTTTTTATAATTGATTGGACAAAAGCTGTTGAAATTGAGATAAATACCAATCCATGTGTCTTTCTTATAAACTGAGCGTTGAACTGTTCCATCCTTTCTTCGTTTTATCGCTATATCGAGAAAATGGAACATGTTTTCTTTTTCATGTTCCATAGTGAAATGAATATTTGGATGAGCTTCATTGAAAAGCCTTAACAGATTTGTCGCATGTTGTTGATTATTACATAAGATGAATGTATCATCAACATACCTCGAATAATACATCATTTCATCAATCGCTCCTTTGAGTTTGGTTCTTTCGAGGTTAGCCATGAAAATGTCTGCTAGGACGGGGCCTAACGGACTTCCCCTTGCTACACCATCGGTTTGTCGGTATATAGTATTGTTGAATTGGAACTGAACATCTTTTGTACACAAGAGTAATAGTCGTTTGAATTCTATTGCTGGTAGAGGTAGGATATCAGGATGTTGACAAATTATGCAAATATAAATGAATCCTTCAGTGTATAAGTGGCTAATCGTTGACGAAGTGGTTCTAAATTATCTGCCAGCCATCTTGTCAAAACACTGTTTCACAGAACAGAAAGAATATGTACTGCCGATACAATAGAAGAGGAAATTATGAATTTTAAAAAGTGTTTAAGAAATAACGGATACCCATTGAGATTTATTGAGAAATATGGAAAACGTGGAGATAAAATACCCAAAGAAACCACAGTAAATAAAAAACCTGTTTTTATTCAACTCAAATTCAAAGGCGATAATGTCACAGGGTCAATCAATGAGACTAAAAACTGCATTGACAAAAACATATCCTGCAGCTAAATTGATTGTCCTGTCCAAAACGACATGTTCTTTGACACAATCAAAGGTCGACAGGTATCCCTTTCATGTTACCACCAACTGTGTATACAAATTTACATGTATCTGCCAAAGCAGTTACATCGGTAGAACAGAAAGGAGAGCCTACGTCCGATTCAAAGAACACATTCCGAAGAGTTTGAGATCAAACGGACTAAAAGCATTTAGCAGCGCTGTCGCAAGACATCTCCTTGACACAGGACACGAAGTCGATATACTGAAGTCCTTCAAGATGATCAACAAACAATCAAATTCAAACCTATTGAAATTCGCCGAAGCAATAGCAATCAAACGTTTAAAACCAGATCTTTGTATACAAAAAGAAACAGTAATAAATCTTTCTTTGCCCTGGTAACATTCCCCCCATCCCCCTTTACTTTTGTTTTTTATTTATTATTATTTTTATTACGTCATTCATAACTGACCAATTTCAATTCATATCTCTCTTTATTAACATTAATCTATTTTCAGTTACTTCATTACATAATCGTCTAATGTGTTTTAATTCCATGATTTCTAATCACTATCTCAATTTTCTGGAACTTTCCCTCCCAAACTCTGTATATTCGAAACTAAAACTTTTATGACCTCACTAACTCTGACGAAATCTTTGCTACATTATGTTGCATATATTCATCCTTCATCGCCCTCTGTTGTATAAGTATGTCAATATCTATAATAACTTTGAATTTCAAATATTTTTGGTTGTAAGCAGCTGCTGAGAACCTAACGAAATAAAATGAATTCATATTATTCTGCATCAATCTTTGTTCTTTCTCTTTTTAAAATAATAAAGAGAACTATGTGTATGAAAATGAATGAAGCTTTCTATGTTTTATATCATCATCATGATTACTCTTATTGTTAGTACTACATTGATTAACTAGACGAAATTCTGCTACTATGCGTTTTATTGATTTTTACTATGAATCGTTCTGACCTTCATTGAATGATCTTTCTAATTTACAAATAACACAATTTTGAAGTATTTATGTTGTATCAATTGCGAAATTTCACCATTTTTTTAACGTATAACATTTTCAAATGTAATAATGAATGACCTATTTTAGCCTTTGTAAAATATCACAATAATTATGAACTTACATCTGTAGGGCTTGATGACGAATTTGTTGAAAACAATTGTTCGCTCAAATATTTCTTTGTTTTTGAATATTCTATGGAGATTTTTACACCATTGAATATGTTAAGACCGTCTTCACTTTCTCTGTTTCTAACTTTATTTTTATCTGTTTATCTTGATCGTAACAACATTGCTACTGGTAATAATGACATAGTTGTGTTTTTGTTTGTTGCTAATATTGTCGTTTGTATGTTTTAGGTGCTAACTAATTCTTTTTCTTTGTTTTAATTGTAAAATATTTTTTTCTAATGATTAAGTCGTTGACATGTCTTCTGATTAACTAGTTAGCTGGCTAGTTATTTGTTCGTCTTCTTTTCATTTTTACTTGTTCTCATTCTTGTTTTTGTCTCATGTATTTTCATTTTCTTTCTTTTAAGTAAATACACAAATGTGTCTATTTCATTAAGTAGACATGTATGCTTGTACGTGTATGTTTACATACTCAATCGTTATGAGCTATTTTT